CCGGGGGTGCGGAAACGGGGGTGCGGTCCCGGCGGGGTGCGGAGACGCAGGCCCAGGCTCAGAGACCCAGAGGCCAGGGGTTGGCGGGGCGAGCGGCGCGCGGGAGCAGCCGGGGCAGCGTAGGGCTGGAAAGTGTTATTATAGTTATGCCACAAATATATGAATCACTACTGCCGTCAGAGCAGTATGTTATATAAAGTGCTAAATATGCAATAATGTACGTAACAGTTAACAATAATAGCTAACAGCAGTAACAGTCGTTAATAATAATTATTATAGTCGTTTCCAGGCTCTGCGCTTTGTGGGGCCCATAGCTTTTTTGGGGTATGAAAAACAAGGGTGCCACTGGGGCCCTGTTGCAGGGTTTGCCCAGAGCTGTGCCCCGCGGGGGCAGCCGAGCTGGTGCCACGCCCTGGCCCCGCCGTCTCGCTCCTGAGAGCGGCGCGAGGCCGAGAAGGCCCAGGACGAGGCTGCAGCAGCCAGGGCCTCGAGCAGAGGGCGGTGCGTGGGGCCCGCTGACCTCCCCTGTGTTGCAGGAACGGCCGGCCCCTGCCACCCCCGGGGCCGGAGCCCAGCCCCCCTGTGCCCTTCCTGGCCCTGCCGCCTTCTCTCCTGGGCACCGTGGACCCGGCCCACCTGGGGCTGCCGGAGAGCCTGGCCTCGGTCACCGTGCCCATCCGCCTGGACGCCCTCTCCTGCCTCCTGCACAGCGCCCTCCTGGGGGCCTGCGCCCTGCAGCAGGCCTGGCCCACCTGCCCCTGCTCTGGGGCCTGCTGGTCCCCCGCCGGCCAGGCCGCGAGCCCGTCCAGGGTCTGGGGGGCTCGGGAGATGCGGTCCAGGCCAGGCCGGGGTCGTGGCCAGCGGCGATGGGGGCCTTGGAGGGCCGAACCTCCCGAGAGGGGCTGGGCTGGGGGCGCTGGCACAGCTCCCAGGAGCCCCCCCAAGAAGCCACCATCCCCACTGGCCCCGCCCACCCAGGGCACTAGCCACGGCCACCGGCATTGGTCCCGCCCACCCAGGGCACTCGGCCCGCCCACCGGCACTGGCCCCGCCCACCCAGGGTGGAGAGCAGGGGGCCCCAGGTCCTGGGCCCACAGTGGACATGCCGCCCGCAGCTGAGGACTGGGAGTCAGAGTATTAGGACCTGTGTCCAGCAGCCGGATGCGGAGGGGCCCCCGCAGGGCTCCCCGGAAGGATTTCTGGACCCCAGAGTCATTACAGCCTTCTCAGAGATACCCCAAGAAACAACCACCTCCCTCCCTCTTCCCCCGAAACCTCACGAAGGGACCATGCGGTCACCCCGTGAGCCCGAGTGATTGAGGATCCCATGCCAGAAAAGAGCGCTGAACCTCGAAACCGTCCAGAACCCAGCTCGCCCTGTTGCAGACACCCTCTCCGGCCACACACAGCACAGCCTCACCCCAGCCCCGAGCTACTCCCTGCCCTGGTCACTAAGCCACAGCAGGCCTCTGCAGCGCCCTCGGCCACTCAGGGCGTCTGCGGCCCGTCCTCGCCCTCCGCCTTGCCAACCCCACCCTCCTCACGACTCCCCCAAGCCTCGTCCTCCTTCCCCACCGCTGCCCCACTGAGCCGAGCCCCGCGACCCCGCCACCCTGACCCCAGCGGCCCACCCGCCCCGTTTCCATCCCTGGGCCTCAGCGCCCTGCGTGAATAATAAACAGTGACTGTCCACTTCCCGTCTGCCTGTGCTTAGCACCTGGGGGTGCTGCCAACAGGGGTGTGGAAGGGGGCGGGGTCACGGGAGGGTCACCACAGAGCCAGGGCCCTGGGCTGGGCAGGACCTGGGTCCCTGCTTCAGCAAAATCTTCCTGGGGCCTCTGCCACCGCGGCAGTTCTGGCTGCTGGAAGCTGCTGTGCCATTGTGTGGGGGGCTTAAGGGATTTGGGGCCCGGGCGCACAGAGGCGAGTGACCTGGCCTGGCCCAGTCTGCACAGAGGGACTGAAGCAGACGGAGGGCTCAGGGCAGGCTCGCTGTTCAGGTGAGAACAGGCGCGGGCCTGGACCCTCCTCCCCAGGCCCAGGGCCCGGGCGCCCGGCACCTTCCTCTGCCAGGACCTGGGAGTCCAGGTCTTCGCACTCGTCCTCCCCTGGTGTCCCCGCCCCGGCCCCTGCTCACTGAGGATGCCGGAGTCCAGGCCCCGGTCTCCCACCTCGGGCCTGTGTCCAGGCCCTCTGGCTCCCCCATCAGTCTTGGGGATCCAGGCCCCCAGTCTCCTCCCTCAGACCTGGGGTCCAGGCCCCTGGCCTCCCCCCTCAGACCCAGGTCCAGGCCCCCAGTTTTCCCCCTTGGAACTGAGTCCAGCACCCCTGGCTCCCCCACATACCTGGGGGTCCAGGCTCCGGGTACCCCGAGACCCGAGTCCAGGCTCCCGCCCCCCCTCAGGCCCAGACCCCTCGGACTCTGACCTCTCGTGTCCCCCAGGTGGCCATGCAGGGCCTCGGGGGCGGCGGCCTGCTCTGTGCCTGCGCGGGAGCCGTGCTCCTGGTGGGGGCCACGGCCACAGACCACTGGATGCAGTACCGGCTGGCGCGGTCCTTCGCCCACCAGGGGCTGTGGCGCTACTGCCTGGGCAGCAGGTGCTTCCTGCAGACAGAGAGCATCGGTGAGGCTCCCGCTGGGGGGCTGGGGGGAACCTCACCTGCAGGGCCTGGAATGTGGGGTGGAGCTTGGGGCTCGAGGGGGAGCAGCCAGTGCAGGAGGGCCAGGATTGGGATTTCCTAGTCCTAGACTAGGGGCCCAGTAGGGAGGAAACTTCTCCTGGGGAGACACCGGAGTTGGGTCAGCAGACGCAGTGAGGGGTGTGGGAACAGAATTTCCTAAAAGCTCCAGAGTTTCAAGAGCTGTGAGGTACTGGGGTGCAGAAGCAGCACGGACCCTGTATTGCTCACTACGGAATGAGGTGTTCCTACGTGCCGGGCTGTGCCGGGCATATGCACGTGTGTGAGAGTGTGAGTGCTTGTGTGTATTACAACATGCAATTCTTTAAAGGTTTGTGATGCACACAAGAACTGGGGTACAGGCCAGAGGTTCAGGGTGAGAGCCTTCACCAGAGACAGAGTGGGGAGCAGAACAGGTGGATCTACTGAGATACACTGCTGAGGGGAGCAGCGGGGAGACAGAAGGGGTCTGCTGCGTGCTGTGGTCACTCCCTGGCCGGGGATTGAACTTGTGCTGCAACGGCTGCAACGGCCTCATGGTGCTGCACTTTAACCCCTTGTGCCACCAGGGAGGGCCCCCAATATGTATTTTTAATATGGATAAAACACTGCTTGCAGCACGGGGGACCCTTGCAGGCTGCATAATAGACGCTGTAATAACACGCTCTAGTGACATACGCACGTGTCAGCTGGACAGACGCGTCCATAAAGAGACACACGGGTTGTGTCGTGATGTCCTTTCAACTGTCGCCTTCTGGACACTAACTTAGCGACACTGACACCCGGAGTTTCTCAGGCTGTGTCCGAACTGCAGCCCCTGGGACACACGGCGCAGGTAACTCCTGGGTGGGCGCCCACACTGCTGGGTCACCCCCTGGCTCTAAGTCAGCTGAAGTCACACGCCACATTTACAGTGGGATTGGGCGGCTCTCCAGGGCGGGCTGGCGGCCGCGCTGTGTAGCTCCGCGGCCTTTGGGGCCGCAGAGGGCACCGGGCTCCGGCGCTCACCCCGCCCCGTGGAGAGGGCAGCCGCTGCCCCCTGGGGACGGGCCGGCCACCCCGGGCCCTTCAGGGCCTGATCTGAAAAGGCTGAGTTTAGGCCCCGGCGCGGCCCCCCCTCGGGCTGCAGACCCGCATCCGCCCCGCTGCAGCCGCAGCCACAACACAGCCGCCATCTGTGGGCGCCGCACAGAAACGGGTCAGAGCCCACGCGTCGGGCCCCGGGGGTCGCGCCCACCGGCAGGTCCTCGCGTCCGCGCCCTGGGCTCCCGCATCACACGGGGTGACATAAACCCCAGAACGCGTGGCCTCGGGACCTGGAGCCCGGGGCTCCCATGTTGAGGGGTCCACACGCTGGCTCCTGTTCAGGGCTACCCCAAAGGGAAACAGGAGGCAAGGCTCTAGGGCAGGCATCGGGGAAAAGCTAACTAGGGGTTCATCTACACAGGAAATGGGAAAGGGGGGGCACAGAGAGGGCTAGGGACTAACTGGCGAATGTCCTACCCGCGGCGTCTGAGCGTGCCCAGCCTCGCCAAAGGCAGGCGGCACCCAGCCCCTGCAGGCTCCCTGAGCGGCCTCTAACCAAATATGGCTGCTAAGCTCCGCCCCGAGTTCCCAGCAGCCCCCACTCCGAGACGTGTCACGGCAGGTCTCTGGCATGGCATGCTGGGAGTTGTAGTCCTGGGAGCCCGGGCTCTCTGCATTAGGGATAGAGTCCCTAAAGTATCAGTGGGTGCAGTTCACTCAGGACAAACTGTTCCCCCAACGGCTCCTTGCAAGGGTTGGGAGGGAGCATTTATTCCTGGCTTCTCCCAGAGCTTCTGGTTGTTTCCTGACCAACTTTTGGTCAGTCCTTGGCACGCAGCTGCATTGCCTGATGTCTGCTTCCATGTCCACGGGGCCTGTCTGTCTCCAAATTTCCCGGTGTTGTGAGAACACCCGTCATGTTTTTGAGAGACCCACCCACTCCTGTATGACCTCATCGTAACTGATTCCATCTGCCGTGGCCCTATTTCCAAATGAGGTCATACTCTGAGGCCCCGGGGGTTGGATCATCAAAGTAAGAATTTGAAAGGATGGGAGGGGACCCTGTTGAGCTTATAACAACATCCATGGAGAGAAATAGCCGGGAACATTTTCCACTGAGCTTGTACATGGCAAAAGACTGCATTTCACGAGGCTAGCTTTCCCGTGGCAAGGGGAGGGTGAATTGTGCTGCAGAGCCTGCATGCCTGGGAGGACGAGGACTCAGCCTAGTGTCCAGCGTCAGTCCCAAAAGTGCCTTTGCTGCTCTGAGCCTCAGTTTCTCTACCTAAGAAATGGGAATAAAAAATAGTCCCTACAGCAAAAGGGTGTTGAAAGAAGGTCCCTGGGAAGAGGGTCTGGCGCCCGTGTGGCCGTGGTTAAGACGAGGATGAGATCGTGATGGTGATTCACAAAGCCTCTCCTGAGCTCTGCATGGGGGAGAATGACCCCAGAGCTCTCTGCGTGGTGTGTGGGCAGGACTGGGAGCTGGCAGGACAGCAGCAAATGCACACGCAGGCCCTTTCCTCACGAGGCTGAGGAGTCAGTGGGGAGACACAGACGTCACAAATAAGTATGAGGCTTTCAGATCTGAGCAAGTGGTGTGCAAGGGTGAATGGGAGCACAGGAGACAGGATAAAGAGGAAGGCCGGGAGGACCTGGGAAATCGGCAGTCACTCACTAACGAGTTCATTCACCAGCTACCTGGACATAAAATCTGCATGATAAACAACGTTGATCAGACCCTCACCGTGAGGGCTGGTGCCGGGGGCAGTCCTGTAGATTGTAGAGTGCCAAAAGGGGCCCAACGACAACGGGCCTGGATTTTGTGAGCCACTGACATTAGGCTGCGTTCTTATTCTTGACACGGGGCGTCCTAACCCTGCTATTTTGACCTAAAGAAGCACGGACATTGGGCCCTCCCTGGCGCAACCAGTTGAAGCACTATGAACGAAGCTGGCCACAACACAACTGCTTTAGCACAAGTTTGGTCCCTGACTGTGGGGTGCCGGGGAGAGGGTGGGGAGTGACCCACATGGCGCAGCACACCTCTCCTGTCTCCCGCTGCTCCCTCAGCAGTGCACCTGGTTAATCTGCCTGTTCTGCTCCCTGCTCGGTCTAGTAGGTCTTCTCGCTGCCTGCGCCCCTCTGGCCTGTATGCGCAAATGAATAAATCTTAAAAAAAAAAAAAAAAAAAAAAAAAAAAAACAGCAGCAGAGATGCCTAGCAGAGGAAGGCAACGCAGGGTTTCATCTCCCCCTTTCTCCGGAACGCCCCGTAGAGCTGCAGGGACTGGGGCCCCCTTGCTAAATCTCCTTTATCAGCTCCGTGATCCAGGGTTGGGGTGAAGGGAGGGGCTTTACCCCTGGCAGCAGATTTTTACAGAGCTGTTTCTGATGAAAGAGGCTTTGGTTATCTGCGCCAGGAAGCGCCCACAGTAGTCACATTCTGCAGACAGCGCCTGGCATGCGGGTGCGAACCAAACCTCACTGGGCTGCTGCCACCTTTACCTCGTGTTTTCGTTTTCAAAGGACACCTTTAAAGGGAAAGAAAAAGAAAGGCAGCTGCATAGTCACAGGCGGGCAGGGCAGCTTCCTCTGCCGGCTTCTTCTGGAATAGAAGCAATCCAGTCACTGTGCTCAGGAACAATCAGTCTGCAGGGGGAGATGGAGAGAGTCACAGTTCAGAGGTGGAGTGAGGATGACACTGGCGGGGTGAAGGCATGCTTTCTAGAGGACGGGATTTGGGGGCTGGGCTTTGGAGGGTGAATAGGAGTTCGGTGAACAGGTGGGTCTTTGCAGAAAGCTAGAGGAGCTGGGTCAGGGACAGGGAGCAAGACCAGGCTTTGCTGCCTGTGGGATAGCAGTGTCTGTCACCAAGGATGCAGGAGGGATGGGGTGACTTGGGGTGTCCTCACAGCCTACTGGAACGCCACCCGAGCCTTCATGATCCTGTCCTCGCTGTGCGCCGCCTCAGGCGTCGTCATGGGCGTCCTGGCCTGGGCTCAGCAACCTACCTTCACCCGCCTCTCCCGGCCCTTCGCCGCGGGCATCCTGTGTTTTGCCTCCAGTGAGTGGACCTGCCCTACCCCCACCCACCCACCACCTGCCCTCAGCTCCCTGCTCCTCTCAGCCTCAACCTTCCCCACCCCCAGGGCCGACTCCCGGACTGCTCCTAATCCATCCTGTCCTGACAGCAGCCTGCACACTGTCCCGAACTGGCCCCACAGGTTTAGGGGTGCGGCCCCAATGGGCTGCCCTCGCTTTACCCGCAGGTGGGTCCCCTGGCCACTCTTTGCATGTTTGACAACCGGCTACATGTCGGAGGGTTCCCAGGACCCTCTCAGGCTGGAAAGTTCACAGAGCTCAGGAAAGCGCCACTCACAAGGCGGCGTGGCCAGGTCACGGTCGCTGTCCCTGGGGGCCGCCCCACAGCGCGAGTGGGGGCTTCGCTCATACAGGTTGCAGCTGCCAGCCATCGCATTCAAAATATGTCTATATATTTTTTTTGCATAGAAGAACTGGAGTGTAGATCAGAGGTGAGGGCGGTGAGAGGACTTCCCAGAGACAGTGGGGAGCAGACAGGTGAAACCACTGATGTACACCGCTGAGGGGAGCAGGGGCAGACAGGAGAGGTCTGCTGCACCCTGGGGGTGACTCCCTGGCTGGGGATCGAACTCCTGCTGCATTCATGACAGCACTGAGATTGAACTGCTAAGCCACCAAGGAGGCCCCCAAAATGATGGTGATTCCTGCCAAGGGCTTTGAGTCTAAGTGTTCTCACCTCAAGATAGCCCATGTTGGGGAAAGGCCCCACAGGGCTTAACCTTCCTTCCCGCAGAGCTGCAGAGACTGGGCACACTCCCCACTGAGGCCCCTGCAAAGGCCGGATGCACCCTCTGACCCCACACGTGGAGCAGCCCCCTCCCCCACCCCAGGTCCCTGGCTGCAGGGACTCTCAGCCCCAAAGCCCCATCCTGGGTGGCGCCTTCCGGCCTCCGGCTGAGTCATCTCAGCCCTTGAGCTCAGGTGTGATCCCAGAGGCTCCAGAACACGAAGCCAAGCCATTACCCGGGACGTCTCCTCCCAGCAGCCAGACACAGGCCGTCGGAGCCTCTGTGACCTGTGCCCGGCCACCCTGCC